TGCTGGCAGTCTCGTTAGAAGAACTTGGAATATCTCTTTGCATTTGTAGTGTGTGTGTGGGGGGGGGGGGTTAGGTCATTGTGACCGACCATTTTCCAGTACTCTACCCCATGAATTTCTGTGAAGCTGGGATCTATCAAACTTTAGAAAGATTGAAACCATGGCCAAGGTACGAAAACAAAATGCTTTACTAGAAGTCTGTGGCTCTGGGGATTGGCATCCACAAATAGATAGGAAGCAAAGTTTGGCCTTTTACAGTCCCAAGGCTCTTTCCTAAGCATGGCTCACTGCTGAGCCTGCATGTCAGTCAGTCATGGACCAGATGTAAGCACAAGTAAGTAACAAACTCCAGTCAGTAGTAGAGGCATTCAGAACATGGGAAACCAGATTAAAACCGAGACGACTCCTTCTCATGTGGTTGTCCCTGGTGTATATGGGGAGAGAGAGGCTGGGGTCAGTATTGTGATTGACAGTCCAGGACAACAGGAAAGAGCCAAGTGCTATTAACACCAGCAGCTCTGGCACTCTGACTTTCTCCCTTCCTAGGAACCATTAAAAGCTTCCAAGCACTTGGGTGGCACAATGAGAGCTATTGTTTCAAAGAAGGTAACACTAATGGAGAGGGCTCTAACTGGGGGCAGTGCTGCAGAAGCCTGCAAGTCCCTCGGGCAGGAAAAGTTCTGGGAGAAGAGGAAGAGGCAGCTTCTCAGGCTGCTCAGAAGGGAACTCCCCAGGTGAAAGTGGGCATCAAGGGAGGAGGAGCAGGTCACCCTCAGGCTTCAGGCCTGAATAACTGGAAGGATAAAATGGGTTTTCAACAAAAGCACCCCCCTACAGAAGTAGTTTGTGCACACAAAAAATCAGCCATTTGGGCTGGGGTGTAGTTTAGTTGGTAGGATGCTTTCAAAGCATGCATGAAGCCCTAGGTTTGATCCCCAGCACCGCATGGTAACAGAATGTGATGGCCAGGTGTGGTGGCGGACCCTTTAATCCCAGCACTTGGGAAGTGAAGGCAGGAGGGTTAGAAGTTCAAAATCATCCTTGCTGTATTGAAGACACTGTCTCAAAAAACTTTAATTAAAAAGTTAAGGAGATCAGACCTTACATACCTATAGATTCTAGGGGAAAAGGGAAACTTGGGGTTGGGGGGAGCTTGGTAGACAAAGCTGCCTCAGTGGCATCTGTGGGACACATACCAAGACATATCCATCTACATATAACCAGCTAGGAAAGTGTCCTCACACTCTTGAAGCTGACTGGTCTAGCTTGAGTGTATTCATTGAGTATTGCCACATAGAGAACCCAGGGGCTTTAAAGGGCAAGAGCATCCATGGATATCAGCTCTGAATGAATAAAACAGTGAAGGTCTTAATGAATTACTTTGGAAAGAACAAATTTATTTCTTGTTCATGCTATATGTCTCCTATTTGTTTTGTTTTTTTATTTCTTACAGACTATATATCTATGTGTCAATTGTGCATTAATTTTATTAAATACTATTTTCTCCACATCAAGGTAAATTATGCATCTCACCCAAGACTAAACCTCATTGGGGAAAAAAATGGATATTTTTTTCTGGCCTTATTGAATCTGTACAGTTTTTGTTCTGTTTGAGTGTGATACTAAAATTACTTCTGGAATTCATTGCCAGAAAAATAGGAGTGTTTTAAGAGTTGAAGGGCCTTAATTCATTAACATGGCATAAACAAATTGCAGCAAGGCCACATTTTATTCTCTTAAATCTGAGACTCCTGTCATGAGCCCGCATCACTGGGGATTTCAGTCTGGAGCTGGGAAGGAACAGGGTTGTAATGTGTGAAAACACATTTCTCCAAATCGCACTCACTAAAAGCACCACTCTAGCACGGAGAGCAACCGGGAATGCATAACCATGCTCATTGGTTATGTTTCAAAATTGGCCCTGTGAAAAACATGAAGGAAATGACATTTGCTTGGAACTTTTTTCCCCAGAAAGGATATTTTAAAAGAATGTTTTGTACAACTCATCCGATAAAATTTTTATTGGATCATTTTAATTTTTCTCTCCTCTCTAGCAGAGTGTGGGTTTTATTTTTCTTGTTCTCCAACACAGCCTACCACACAGCCAGCCACAGCTTACCAGTATATTTCCCCAAATACTGCATGTAATTTAGGGTACCCCATTTGCTTCTCTAAGAACCTGAGGCTGACATTTCAAAAAGAACTTATCATCTCTCTTATGTAAGGTATGAAGAAGCATGTGGGATCATAAGCACCATATCAGGTTGTTGTGGTGGGTGCTAGAAATGGGTTACCCCATCACAGACCCCCTCCTTTTATTTTAATGGGATCTCACCGTGTACGCAGGCTGACCTCAAAATCTAACCCCTCCTGTCTCAGCCTCTCCAGCACTACTAGGGTTACACGGGTGCACTACCACATTTAGCTGGAATCAGACATTTCTTGTTCTATTCAAACAACAAAGAAACCAACTTCCTTCAATAATGGCCAAGCAGAATTGATTCTAAAATTTCTCTTCACAGACATATAACGGATCAGTAGGATTCATTGCCAACCCTACATGATGCCTTTGGTCTTCCTGTCCCAGGGGCAGGTCGGTAGCAGGGAGGGTTCTCAGGGCACAGGGCAGTAAGCACTGTCCACAGGCATGCCAGAGCCACTGAGTTCCTTACTCAGTGAAAATTATTTCACTTGGCCTTTTCTTGAGAAGAGGAAGAAGCAGAGACGATGAGCAGGATGCATGGGAAATGGTCTTTAGAAACAGGGTCCTGGAGCCTGTGGACAAACTTTGACCTTTGATGGTTTTGCATAAGGTCAGTGTGGCCAAACCTACCGAGTTGAGGACAGCTAAATGAGGTAACTAAGGACATACAGGAGAGAACTACCAGCTCCTTTGTTGTTTCTGAAACCTGAACTGCTTTTAGAAATAAAGGCTGGAATGTTCCATAGGAACTCAGAGCATGGGACAGAGGGGCATGGCACACACTCGGTGTGGGCTATTTAAAACCAGTCCCTTGGCTTCCCTCTGTGATTCTAAATAGGTGAAATCACATTACCCCCGCGGCAGCCGGTAACTATTTCCATGACACTGCCCAGCATCTGTGCTCAGTGTGGCCGGGTCCACCCAATGAAAACAAAGTAGAGCGCAGTCTAGGCTCTCAGTGTCCAGCTAATGTCCACCTAGTGTCAGGCTGACAGAACACTGGGGTGAATGAGAATGCTTGAGATTTAAGGACTGATCTATTGGACTATCCCAGGAAGAGGCAGGTGCCTTAGCACAAAAAAAAAAAAAAAAGGCATTTTAAGCAAGTCATTTATTTACATGACCAAGAGTCACCATAAGCAGAACTAATCACAAAGACATAGACGTTGTCTCACTCTGTATTAAAAAAAAAAACTGTCGTAAAATTCTTTTCTTTGACATGTTAACACTTTGTATAATCAAACGATAAACCCTTAGGAATTCTTCACTTAATTGGCAATCGCTCAGAGGCGTTAGCCAGGGGAAGGACATTAACGATCCTTGTTACATAATGTCAAAACACCCAATCAAGTTTATAAATGTAATGAAACAGTTGAACCAGTTTGGGGATTTCCTGTAGACCCCACAATATCTTAAGTAACTTTCAGCATCGTATCTTGATGTAAAAATTTAAAGCTGCAGCACTTATAAAATGCGTAAGACTTTGTCACATGCTGAGCTTGACCTAACCCTGCATGTGATGGGTCTCACCTTTGACTCCAGCAGAGGGGAGGGAAAGGGAGAAAGACCAGAAGCTGAAGGCCAGCCAGACTATGCGGTAAGGTCAAAGTCTGCATGAATTTTGTGAGACCCTTCCTTTAAAAAAAGTTTTATGTACTTGAATTTCTCTTTGATTACAACACTTCAAAATATGTCTTATAGCTTCCATTTTGTAGCTAAGGAAGCTGAGGGGAGGGGACATTCAGTCTGCACAAGACTACGTGACAAAGTTCCAGTGAGTAGTGGGGCAAGATCAGTGGCATGAGATTTGAACACAGGATTCTCCAATATCAAATTCCCACTGTTTGCCTGTGTCTAAATAGCCTCATGAAATGGCAAAACAAGGAAACAAATATAAATCTAGAAAGCAAATAAATTAAAAACTTGGATCTTGATCACACAGTTAAGATACCTCAAATTCAGTATATTGACAGCAGACTGTGTCTGCCTTGGGAGTGTCTATCTGGCAACCCAAGACTGATTCTGTGGGATGGAAAGACCCCTTGACCCTCATGTGATACCCCATTAAGAACTAGACTCCAACTGTCAAACATTACACATCAGAACAAATTATACATATTTCATTACGTCTGTGAAGAGATCTCATTTCCTAGACCAATGCTATTTTTGAATATTTTCAGACATGGACTGAATATGTGGTTCCCTTGTGGCCAACTCAAAACACAGCATGGAGTATTTGCTATATTAATATCATCTTTCCCTTACTGTGAGGGGACTAGTTATAAATTAGATTAGATTAGAAAGCAGTCTCTTGAGAATTGGTATTTTAAGGAATTACCTAGAAAGAACCAATGGTGTGGTTTTTTCCCCCCTTCTTTCTCCCCACATGGTAAATCATACAGAGGAGCAGCCTGCCCCAGATCCCTGAGAAACAACATCTTGAGCGCATATGTTATGCTGGGCTCTGCATTGACAAATCCAAGAACTCCAGCGCAAAATAACCAAAGTTCCCAAGTTAAAAATGAAAGTAAGATCATCAAAATTGGTATTCTTGTTACGACATCCCAACAACTTCATAGACAGCATTACAGGTTATCGAATTTTCCCATGCAAGAATCAACCTGCATTGTGGGTGTGAAGTTACAAACAGCCCCATCTACCTCCCGCTGTACTGATATCCTCACCCTTTGCAGAAACATCGTCACATTCAACACAAATAATATTAAGCTTATTTTACAAGAAGCCTTATCCAAATATATGCCACATTAAAAATAGTCATGATATAAATATTTCTCACAAGAGCTGCAGCGATGGTGTGAATAAAAAACTCCCTTCTGAGATTTCAGTAAAACCAGATCTCACAAAGGATCTGAAAGAAAACAAAACACACACACAAAAACAAACAGACACACACACAAAGAGACACACACAGAGAACAGACCTTATGTTAATCCGATTTGCCACAACATTTGTTATTTCCACACTGTTTTATAAAGTAATATTCTGCTCCTTCCCAGATGAAGCAAGAGAGAGAGACGAGCTGCTCCAGGTACCTCAGAATAAGGTCCAGGGTGGGGGCTAGCTAAGCATGGTCAGGAGCAGCTTATCGAAATCACAAATTTTCAATACAGCAAAATGTTAGTGCTGTCAAATGGCCAAGCATGCGAGAGGAATCCCCCCCCCACTCCATGCCCCTCTCAGAATACATACAAACCCCCAAATCTACCAGCTGGAATTTTTTAAATTGCAAATTAGATATTAAAATGCTTACGGGCCTTACAGTGAGATAACATCAGGAGGGACGGTGCGTGGAATGGATCTTGCATTCTCACATAGAGCGTTATCTTTGGTACAAGTACACACGGCAGGGCATTTTGGCTTCGCTGGTTTCTTCCCCTCAGTCAGCAAAACCACAGAAAAGAGGCATAGGAAATAGGCAATTCTTTTCAGGGGGATGCAGGCATTTCCCATCCTTCTGCTTCTTCCTGATTCCATGCAGTCGAGAAAATATCCCCACACATGAACAGGGCTTCTGGAATTCAGCTGCTGATTGTCTTGCTCTAGGAACAGGTCACATAGGAGTCCACCCTTCTCTGCCTCTGTGTCTGCCTTTTCAAATCAGGGACCTCCAGCTGATTCGTGAGCTGTTCCTCGCTCAGGCAGAGAACTGCTCGGGGGGAAGAGACCTGTGAGGTGCTGTGAGATGGGAGCGAGCCAACTGCTGGAGGAAGAGAGCCGGCTCGCATCACAGCAAACAGTGAGCACAGAGCAGTCTTCGAAGGCAAGCGAAGTGATGTAACAGAAAATAAACAGCTTTCTGCGTTCACCGGGAGGCCCTTTAATTGTTACCAAAAATAGGACGGCATTATGTCTTATTAGTGGGTGGGTGGGCGGGCGGTGGAGCAGTCATCTCGGCATAGGATGCGGGCAATCTTGGGAACCTCTGGGAATTTGCTTGTCGTGCAGCAAACAACCTAGTAAGGAACACTAGCTTGGGGGGGCAGTCTTGGTTGGGAAAACGAAGTTAAATGAAACTCTGTCTGCCGCTAAAGCCATGCTATTCCTTGCAGAGTCCACCTGGGTGATGCCACTGTTGAAAGATAAACCCGAACGCATGGAGACTGTCACTTTCAAAGGAATGCATGTGAATGAATACTTTTCTGGCACTTATCAGCTATTATGAATTATTGTATTTTCATAATCCTCTACCACTATGTACAGCCCACTTCTTCCACGGTGAGGGAGGTGACAGAATTGTAAACCATCTCTGTGTCTAATCTACTCTCCTCCCTTCCTGCTCTCTCCCTTAGGCAGAGTTATTCCAAAAGGCTGGAACGAACTCCCTGCCAGCAGGAGGCAGCCAACTCGGGCTTCCTGGGGCTTTGAAAAAAAAAACCCAGCGGGCTGTGATAAAGGGGGTGGGGAAGGGGGAGAGGATGGCGGAGTAAGCAGGAAACCAGGCTTTGAGATCTCAGGTCATTTGGGACTAGCTGATTTTAGACAGGGGAGCTATCAGGTTTGTAGATTGGGGACCATAGGGTAGATGGTCTTGTCATGGCTGTGAGAATCAAATAAAAACCGCAGGCTCTTGTATTGCCATATATGATAGGAAAGAGGACACTCCCTTGGAAAAGGAAATTTGTTTAATGACAAAATCAAGATGACCTGGCCTTGAGGTGGGGTTGTCCAGTCCAACAGGGTGACGATATCCTTAGGAGGGTAGAAGAGAAGGTCTTTACCATGCCAATGGCAGCCACCTTAAGGTGGCACAGCCACTCTAGTAAGTTAGGCATGGTCCTTCCTCTCCTTGCTTCTTAAATTGAACATATGAAAAGGATTGTCCACCTGCCCGTACCATTATGAAACAAACCCACCCCTCCCCAAGGTCCATTCATTGCCATTCTCTTCCATCTTGTAGCTGACCTTAGGCTAACTCCAGTTACCCCTTTCGTTTGTAGCGTGTGCTGGTCTTGAACTTTCTTTCATTCTGTCCCCAAAGATGTGGGCTTGCAGGTAGGTGCCACCACCCTGGGCTCAATTGCTCCTTTAACTCTACTGGCTTTGTGAGAAGAAGGTGGTAACAGTCCTAATCACTCTCTTATTGAATTGCTGGGATGACGGTGGTGGTGGTGATGATTATGATGATGATTCCAGAGGACTCTATGGAAGTAGAAACTCTGCTTCAAAACCAGGGCCTGCAGTCACCGTGCACATGGGGGACATCAAGCGTGCCTTTGGAGCAACACCAGAATGCATGGTGTAGTCACAGTAACCATATATTCATCTTCAAGCATAACACTCCAGTGTTAAAATAAAGGGGATTGCATTGGTCAAAGAAGTCAGGGCATGGTTCCCTGAAGAAACAATGAATGAGTGAGTTCCAAAGACAGGAGGGAGGAGGGGCAGCGTGTGCAAAGTCTGGGGTGCTCTGAACAGTCGGAGGATGCTTATGCAGTTTCAAGCAGTAATTTTTTCTGGTGTATGTTTCAAAAAGACCATCTCAGAGAAGTCCTGACTTTGAAATGGATTGTACTATTGCTTCATTGTAGGAAAAGAATGCAAGAGACTGTTCTTAGAAACCCAGACCTTTGGGCAAGTCTCAGTTAAACATTACTGTGTCACTTAAAAGTTGGCTGCAAGTTGAATTTTTTTAATTGAATTCTTCTGCAAGTGCATGATGGGAATCTCTCTCTATAATGTGATTACACTGTGAAAATTTTATGCAGACTCATTTTATTCAAACAGCTGCTGTCTTAATTTCCTAATTTCTAATAAACTTTGTAACTACAAAGCAATGACCTCAAAAATTTTCAGGGACCTTGGATTCAATTCCTTGCACATTGATGGGTACATTGAGGTACTGAGCCACCATATAGATGCCTGTTCACAGAGCCACTACCCTGCATGGGGCAAAACAAATGGCAAATATTTGGTTCAAACAATCAATGTAATCAAACAGGGCATTTGCTCCCTCGGATTCACTCTCAAATAAAACCAGCTATCAAGTCCGATAAGCCTTTGGCTTGGGGCTTCTGCCGCCACACAGTCTTTCTGTTTTGGTGTGGTGAAGCCAGGATGAAAACTTTACCCCTGCCATTCGCTTGTAGCAGCTCAGCTCAGTTTAAGCAGAGAAAAGACCACTAGGGGGAGGGGGGCACTAAGGACAATTTACAATGGGCATTTTGAAAAGACAGTAACTTTTTCTTTTTGTATGGCATTTAAAGCCCAGACTTGAATTCCTTATTCAGTTAAAACGCCCACCAAGATCAGGCATAGTTTAAACCATGCCACGCAGGGTGCTGATAGCCTTTCTGGGAATATGCTCCAGAAATGAATCTGAGGAAGGGCTTAGGAAATCTCGAGAGATTTGAGATCAGACTAGAGACCATACTGCTGGTGATGCCTCCCCTCCTACTCTCCCGAGAAGTTCTCCCGAGAAGTTCTAGGAGTAGAACGCCTAGATGTACAAGTGGCAAATCAGTGCTTGATAAGACCGGCAACCTACCTGTGGACAAGGTGGCCTTTGGGAGAGGGGCCCAGGAAAGATGAAAGAAAACAGAGATGGCGTGCGGCCCAGGGGCGCTGGAAGGCCTAGCTGAAATGGGCTCAGAACCCAGTCAGAGATACAGAGGAGCAACTGAGAAGAATCTACGACTGTCTCTGCAACTTGACAGAGGTGCGACCATGGACCTACTTAACTCACAGTTTTCTCCTTGTTGATGGGGACAATCATCGCACGTAGCACATAGTTATTGATAGGACTGAGTAAGATCACATATCTAAATGTTTGGTGTTGGTTTGATACATAAGAAAGATTCTTCATCATCATCATAGAAGCAAGCCATTAACTTTTGATCATGTGACTCCCAGTACTTGGGAAGCAATGTTTTCACATAAATATGAGGTCAGTTGATGTGTATAGTCACCCTAGGAAGCGGACACTTCTCTTAGATGGCAGGTTCTGGTGGTTTTAAGAGTCTAACCACGTGAGGGAACCAAAAGGAACCCACCAGTCTGATGAGAGCAACTACACCTAGAGCTTGAGAAAGAGGAGGCTACACAGAGAGAGGGTGAGTATTCTTCTTAACCAAAGCTCTTGAACATGTGTGAGCTGAAGAGGGTGAGAGGACCCGTTCTGAGATCCCTGTACCAAGGGGTCTCCTCTAGTTAGAGACACCGCTGTGAGTGCTCAGAACAACTGCACTGAGTGGAGGTTGCAGGCTGCTGAAGAGATTGAGGCAAACAGCATCCTCATCCCGGCCAAGGCTGAGGTGCCCCCAGTCACTGGATTCTTTCCTCCAGGAGCAGCTAGGTCAGCCTTGGTGGCCCAAGCCCCGCAGCCGTTGTAGGAACTGGCAAATCACCCCAGCTGAGAGCCAGAGCCAAAGAGAAGGATACCACAAAAGGTTTGGGAGCACGGGTACAGCGTTCCCGGGCCATCCTCGGAATGACTGAAGTGGGTCCCAGGAGTGTGCTGGCCATCTAGAAGAGCTAAGGAAAACAGGGCGGAGAGGAACAGCCTGTGCTGTGGGTATGAGCCCAATTTTCCCCTCAGGCTGGCGTGGCCTAGGAAACCCCACATTAGCTGTGGTAAACAAATCATTAGGAACCTTAAAGAATCAGGCCTGGCCCCACCTCCTTCTGCAAACACTCGGACAAGCAAAGCAGTGTCATTTTGAGCAGCTTTCTCAGCAGATCTGGGGTTTTGAGTTAGACGCAGCAGTTAGCTGGGAAATCAACCTGGTGGGTACAAGTGGACTTTACAAGTACACAATTCTGAATACAAACCACGGACGCCTTTGACTCCATTCAATATGAATACGTATGCGAGCCCGTCCTGCTGAGATGAATTTTGTTTCTTATAAGTGACTTACAACTGGAGAAAAGAAAGAATGGAGTGCAGCGGGAAAGGGGAAGGAAGGAGGGAAGGATATAAACCCTCCCAAACACTGTATCAGAATATGCTAAGGGTCTTTGATCACTCCAGGAGTCTGGAAAGCAGCAGGGGCATGATCCAATAAGCTGCACTTGCTGATGGAAGGCAGAAATTGGACCTGATAAAACATTGTTTCTAAAATTTACTAGCTCTGTGACCTTGAACACATTGCTTAGCTCCTCTGTGCCTCATTTTCCACATCGATAAGGCCAAAATAATACCTTATTAGCATTAAGATAAATTACATTGTGCTTGTGAAGAAGGCATGGTTCTGAGAGAGTTACACAGGAAGTAGGTGTGGTAAGGGTGGCCAGTGAAGGGACAGATCTCTACAGGGATTCAGGAGTAGTACCATTTAGGACTCCTTGGTAGCAAGTGACAGACTCAGTTGTCAGCTCTGCCAACCTAAGCATACAGGAACCTGTTTCCATGGTGATAGGGAGCCTCTAGAATCCCAAGAAAGGGTTGGCCAAACAGGCTTTGAGCTAGAAAAACTTGTGAGAGCTTAGGGACCTTGGTGGCATTCTTGGATGAGTCCTTATCCTCATGTATCCCCTCAAAGGAGAGAGTCTGAAGGCTGAGCTCCTGTCAGGTGCCCATCATCCATTTGCCATGAAAAAGCGAGGATCTTGACTGGCATTGCCATGGAGGTGTGTGACGGGATAGGGATGGCTTCTGAAGGAGAGCTAGGTGCTGCTTCTAGAGGCACAGGAATGGACACTGGGCAGACAAAACCAAGGTGCATGTATCATGGCACCAGGAGATCCTAGCTAATATCTGCCTTTTCTCTGGACTCTCACACCACACCCAACTTCACTGTTTAACAGAAAAATGATTAGGAAACAGATTGGACAAACAACTATGGATAATTTCTCAAG